TATTTCCAACGATTGAGCCTTGCTCAGTCATAGGAGAGCTTTAGAGAAATAGCGAGATGTTTCCCATCAACAAAATAAACCTATTCCATAAGCTGAAAGATTATGTCCAATCACCAAGGGATTTAATTGTGCTTTAAAGAGCACCTATGTACATACAATTAGTAGTATCAATATTAAACCAAATGAATCTGTTTCAAATGGACCATGACTGGTTAATAGCCTTCTATCAGCAGAAACCGTTTAAACCTGTTCCATTCAGTCTGTTAAGCCGGGCAAGTTGAAGTAATTTCGAGTCGAAAAGTGATTGTTTTTATCTTTGGTTCACACAACACTGGTCATATATTATTCGTCCTGTTCGACTCAGTTCTGATTCGGCCTGCCACATTGAATGATAAGCTAATGATGCACACAGACACACAGACACACACACACACACACAAACAGAGACAGAAACAGAGACAGGGGTCGGAGCGGGCAGCAGCAGCAGCAGCAGCTTCCAAATTGAGGCTCAATTGGTCTGCAACTAATGTAATTATAAGCCACTTGCAAATGCCCCGGACCAGTTGCCACCTCTCCATGGCGCTTTCTAGAATTCGCATCTGACCTGTGATGCTTGTTGTGGTTGAAATTCAATTTAATTTGATACGCACAGATTTCGGTCAGTGTATGCCATAGTCCCAGCGAAGGGGCTTCCAAAATTATTTGCTGTTCAACTGCGGCTCAATTGACCAACACAGAGAACTGCACAGAACCAGAGACAGAGACAGAGACGGAATCCGAATCGCACAGAGCGAGGAAGAGAGTGAGGGACGGACAGATGCGACACAATAACCGACGAAGGGCGGAGAGGGCAGCGGTGTCCGGCGGGTTGTGCAAGGGGGAGGAGCTGAGCCAGAGTGGAGGCGGCCGAGAATTATGAGGTGCCCATCAGCATCGCATCGGCTGGACAACGTTGTCGGCATCGTCATCGTCATCATGCAAAACTCATTGAAGTCGTTAGCGTGCGTCGGGGCCCAAGGACATAAAGCACACAATACACCAGAAGTGTGGGGTCGGAAGGGGAAGTGCGAGGCAGTAAAGGATGAGCACGAGGAAGTGCAGTGGCAGGCATCAGGACATGGCCTGACTGAGGAATGGCATGTCCAGCACTGGAATACATTTCCAGCCACATTCAGGCAATTCTCATAGTGTGTCGCCATAACATGATGCTATTGAGATGCTAATAAGTTTCTTTCAGTGTATTTTGGTTACGGAAAACCTCCGAAAGTTTTGACAGCGCATAGCGCACAGCTGAATATGGATGGAAGATCTCTGAATGGTTCAAGCTGCTGCTAAGATTCAATGACCTTTTTCGAGATTGTGCTCTTTGATGCCATAAGAAAACCACAAAATAGGCTATATTTCTCTCAGTGCCGCTTGGTACGTTGATCATGCGCCCAGGATAGCCCAAAAAACCCGTGCCCGAGTCCGCACCTGAAGCACTCCCCGCCTCATGCTCGCATGCGGTTCGTTCCCTTTCGGCCAGTGCCTGGCGATTCCTGAATCGCTCTGATGCCTGGGCCCGATTGGGCCCGATTGCCCCGTTATTGGCTTAATTTACGTTTTTGCCTGATTTTTCTCTGTGTGTGTGTGTGTGTGTGTGTGTGTGCTCGATGACCATTTGGGCCACGGTTCTCGCTCCAGAAAAAATAATGTGATAGTGGTTTTTACAATTTACGCACTTGCCATGGCCACTGAAATTAATTTTAATTGTACGTGCGTATCTCTCTCCCAGTCCTTTTCCATGACTGCGGGGCCTGGCTCTGTTCGGTGCTGTTCTGTTCTGGTCCTGGCATTAAAATCAAAGTAATTATTCAAGTTGTGTGCATTTCCCGCACTTTCTCTGCCTCTCTCTCTCTCTCTCTCTCTCTCTCTCTGTCTCTGACTGTTTCGCTGTCGCTGCTCTGGTTTTGCCCCAGTCTCCGTTGGTCCCTTTGTTTATTGGCGTTTTCTGTTTGTTGAGCTACGCAAATTGGCTTCATTTTATAGTTGTTGCCTTTGGGTCCCAGCTTTTGTTAATTGTTTAAGGCTGAATGATATAGATATCCACTTCGGGCCCGATCCCAAGCCATCCCAACCCATCCCCTTTACGGCATGCAAAAGGGGCCTCATTAAGGCTCATGATATCCTTTATTACTTTATGACTTCTCTTCTCCTCCAGCCCCATGGCTCCTGCAGTGCCTCCTGCTTGCTTGCCTCATCTTTGCATATCGGATTGCTCGACTGCACACATGGAATTTCCCAATACCAATACAAGTCCCTGTCCCTGTCCCTGTCCCTATCCCAGTACCAGTCTCTGTTCCTGGCTGCTTCTCTTCTCCTCTTTGTTATCGATACTCTTTGCGTGGCTGGTCGCAATTATCCCAAAGATATTTCTTTCGCTGTGGTGCTCTAAGGCTTCCCTTCATCTTGCTTGATTTTTGCTTTTTATATTCCAGGTTTCAAGTTAATTAAAGCCAGAGCTAAAGAGGGAGAATCTCGTTAAAATAATTCTCGTTGTGGTTATTGTGTAGATTATTACAAGTTTCAGTTGAAACCCTAATTGATTTGCGTTTCTTTTCCCAAAAAGAATTTGTAACATTTAATGGGGATGGCTGTACCAGATATTCAATGTTCTAGCCCCCTCTTCTAACGAGCAACAGCCTTCCTGGAAACAGCAACCAGCAACCAGCAACCAGTTGCCTGTTTGTGCTATTTTAGTTTTCATTTGTCATCGGGAGATGGCCATTTGGCCGTTATGCCAGCCAATTGCAATTGCATTCGAGTTCAAAATTCAATTTTGCTCCAATGCGAAGCGGGAGGTCATAAATGCACAAAACACCCCCTTCCTCCTCCTCGTACTCGCATTCGTAGAGCCTCTGGTATGGCATTTCCTACTCCCCTGCTCCCCTACTCTCGTACTCCAGCCTTTGTCGAAATGCGCCGTCGTCATAACGCTACATAAATAAACCCATTGCAAAGCGCATTGCAGTTGCAGTTGCACTTGCAAGTGGAAGTGGCAGTGGCAGTGGCAGTGGCAGTGGAGCCCCCTGTTGTTGCAGTCTATGGCCTAGAGCTGGTTCAGCTCCAAATGTATTTTGGGGGCGTGGGAAGGGACTGGCATTGTGATGTGCTATTGGATTTTATAATCAACAATGCCAAACCATGGACTCTGCCTTTGTCCTGCTGCTGCCTGCTGATGTTGCTTCTGGTTTGGGTTTGGCTTTGGCTTTTCGGGGGGGATTTGGATTCCTGTTGCTGTTGGGCCATCATTTTAATTATACTGAGTGCCAATGAAGTCAATGGCGATAAGGCTAAAACGCTGGCGATTGATGGCCTGGCCCGCACAGCGGGTGGGATGGCCCTCCAGGATGTTATCCCGTTTTTACATTACCAACATCTGTGTGAGTTTCCACTGCATTTATATTTATTATATGTATGTGGGAGGTTACGGCGGCTACGGCCACGGTTACGGTCATGCTTCCCGGATATATTAGCAGCAGCGAGCCTCCTCTTCCTCTTCCTCTTCCTCTTCCTCCGCCACCAATGAGCCGCAAACACCAAATGTAAAGGAAGCGAGAAAGGGAGGAAGCGAGCGAGAGAGTGCAGCGAGGTACACAGGGAGAAACAGGACGCTGCAAATGGACTCTGGAATGCAATGTCATACGGATTAACCTCTCGTGGGCCCTCTCCACAGTGCAGAACAGATGGACGGAGATGGGAAAATGCAATATATTATTTTATGTTATTATTATTATTATGGGACGCAGGACACGGACACGGATATGGACATGTACATGGACCGCACAGACATGCGGGACTCGTACAAGTGGCCAGCGCCATTAGAGGAGAACGGACACAATGAGGAAGGGATCGGCATTCGGCATTCGGCAGTCGGCAGTCGAAGGGGAGGTTTTGCAATCAATCCGCAGACATTAATATTTTTCGTGTTTGCAACCGCAAATTGTTGCGGCTGTTGCAGCAGCAGCACCCTACCCCCAGCAACAACATCTCTCTACAGATTCTCTCCGGTTCACTCGCCACAGGAGTCAACCCAACCCCCTCCCTGCCAGAGCACCTTTCTCGACTGGCGTTGGAGGACTACGAGTTTCACAGACACAACCCTCGATGCGGATTGAGTGGAATCATAAATTAATTAAAAGAGATTTGTTTGCGGCTTCCAAAGGATTCAGCCATCCCAGTGCCAGTGCCAGGGCCAGGGCCAGGGCAAAAACAGCTCGCAGGAGCAAGAGAGCTCTCACAAAGAAATTGTGTGCGTTCGTGTTAGTGCCGGGCCGCTCGGCTCCCCTCCTCCCATCCTCTTTTTCTGTAGTTGTATCTATGTGTGGGTGTTCTATGAAATTAAAGCAACATTTTTCGTAATGCCCGGCAAAGAACAAAATTAATTAGCCTAATTGTAAGGGCGGACAGCGGGTGCCGGGGCCATGTCAAGGGGCAGCAGACACTGAGCCACCAACGAGATTGAGAGCGGGAACGGAAACGAAACAAAACGAAACGAAACGAGGCGAAATGAATGAATGGAGCGAATGAATGAGATGAGATGAATATATAGAAGGCATTTATATTGCACAAGATCTCCCTCTCCCTACAGTGGCGGCGGTCAGTGCTTTTGCCAAAAGAAGGGGGCCGACAGGCTTGCAGAGTTGAGTGCAACAGAAAAAACACTTTTGAAACTTCAATGAGTTAAATTGTCAAGAATAAGTGGAACTATACAAAATTGCTCCGCGAATGAATTTCGAAGCACTCGAGTCTTCATAAGACTTTTATGTAGATGCTTTAAGCAAGGATTTCCCCATTCGCTCACACAATTTTGGCAAGAAGCTAGTCGCTACTTAGCCCCAATCTTTAGCGACTAACTTTCTGGAAATAAATAGCTCAACAGCTTTTACGCGAGACAACCCCTCTATGGATACTGAAAGATCATGATAAATGACAAATTCGGAGTCAAAAGAGAAATGAAATTAAACAACCAAATTATACATATTTGTTATCGGAATCAGGACCCAGGGCGACACAGGGTTGACATTGAATTGAGTAATCAGTAAACACACAAGGTCCCAAAAAGCGACTTCTGTAAGCCATTCCATTAGTCATCTCTCCCTGTGAGTCGCTCTGAGAGTGAGGGGTTTCCATCCCTCCAGACTACGCCACTGATTGCGGCACTCTGAGGTTTTACACTTTTAGCCCATTTATTAAGTTTTTCTCTGCCTTCTGCTGTTCCGTGTTCTTCGCGTGGTTGTGCCCTGCCTAGCCGTCGTCCTGCGGCTCTCCGTGTGCGGTTTTTATTTCGTTTGGCAGACCAGAAATTGTAACAACGTATTTGACGCGTCACAAATGAAAATCTAAAAGATTAATTAGCTCAAGTTTTTGTCGGGCGCGCACGCCTCCCCACGAAAATCCGAGCGCAAATCTGCGACGACTTACCGAAAAAAGGGACCCAAGCCAAGCCAAGCCAAGCCAAGGATCAGATTCAGAGTCAGGACAACCCTCTTTTCATCCTTCTTATTTCTTTGGGGGAAAACTCGAAAATCTGCTGGCAAAGCGCCTTTGGGGGTGGAGAGACTGAATCTGCCAGCCTGCCAGACTGTATACGTAATAAATTTTAAGTCCTAATCAAACTTGACAATAATAATAAAGTTAATAATGTTATTTAAGATCTGTGCCCACACCCCTCTGTAACTCTCCGTTCTGTGTCTTATCTTGCAGCGACTCGAATCCCGTGCTTATATCATCGCCACCCGAATTGGCCGGAATGACACTGGAGGCACGTCTGATATCCTACGATTGGGAAAATCAATTTGGCGAATTCCAGGAGGCCACACGCAAGGGCAGCTTCAAGCCCATCTGCTGGGGGGCCAAGAATCATGTGGTGCCGGTAAGTAGAGCGCAGAGATTTCTCCATTGCCCCGATTTATGCTTCCAGATAACGGCTAAAACTTTTCAATGGGAAAAGTCTTCTCTCGCTTCACTCGCTTCCCTGGCATCTCGGGCTTCTCGGGCTCTCTGACGGCGACAAGCGGAAGACGGAGTGCTCGTACTCTCTCCCCCAGAGCAAACTTCTCATTCAAAAGGCAGTGCTGGCCGGTGTCTGTCACAGTTGAAATCGCATTAACCCTTTTTATCCATCTGGGCATCTCAATCTCGTTTTTCTTCATTCGCTCTTTCTCCACTTCTCTGGCTTTTTCTCCGCTAATCGCTGAGAACATTTCGAGCTGGATTCCCTTGTCCTGCTTGTCGTTGCCGCTGCTGCTATTGGTCCTGGTCCTGGTCCTGGTCCTGGTCCTGCTTTACATCCATCAGCTTAATCAGCTAAATTGCTAGACAATATCTGGGATAATTTTTCTTGCTGCCATTTGATGGCCCAGCCGCCCCCACACACAGATACCCTGCCCCTCTCCCTGCCGCTCAGATACGAAAACAGCCACAGAGCCAGACAAGTGCTCATTTATTCATTGGATAGAGGAATGGGGGCTGGCGCACAGAGAAGAGCTAAAGCAGAAAAGACATTAGGACCACCTCCATCTACCTCCATCTACCAACCCCATCTACCATCCTGCTTTGGCTCGGGCGAAATGCGGGTAATGTCTACCGGAAACCGCACGTTATAAAGTGCAATCAATTGCATTGCGGCCAGGGCCAGGGCTCTGTTCGCTCTGTTCGCTCCGCTCGTTGCGAGTTCGAGTTCGACTTCGAGTTTGTTAGGCGCCACTTTATAGCAGTCGCTCGCAGAGTGGAGTGGTTCTAGGGGGAGTCACATCTATCAAACCAACACACGTACGGCTTCGACAACGATCATTCTAATGGGTCACACACTAAACCACGACTAGGACCACTACGAGGACGAGGACTAGGACGAACCACGACCACGACTAGGACGACGATTCCCAACAAGCTGCCTCTAATTCACGTCCAAAATGGTTTAGACCAACTGAGTGAATGCTCCCATATGAGCATGATTCTACCTCTCCCTCTACCTCCCTCTATTTCTCTCTCTCTCTCTCTCTCTGGCGCTTTTCCATTGTGTGGAAATTGTGGGAAATTGCTTAAGTTGGAAATTGTTGCCATTTTCATGCCACTGACTTGGCTCTCTGTCTTTGGCTCTGCCTCCGCAACAGCCTTTTCCTCTCTGACTTTCACTCGGTGTTTTCTTCCTTTTTTATTCCTGTAGCACTCGAGACCAAAATTATCAACGCTTGAATTGTCATCGATTTTCCGTGCTATTGCGTTAAATGCTGCCCATTCGGGGTGAATTCTAGCTCGGCCATTTTTTTCAGTCAATAGTTCATTGGAGGACCGGGCCGAACCAATCTCTCCCTCGGTGACAGACAGGCCCATTGAATTTAGAAGGGGAAAAAAAGAAGAGCCCGTTCAGGCGCCTAAATTAGCAGGGAAGCAGGGCAAAAAGTTATACTATAGTTACTGCGTGACAGAGAAAGGTGAACGACAGTTAAATGTAGCGTGAAATATACAGCGGCAAAGAGGTGACAAAGAACCGAAAGAAGTCCCTGATTAGTTTTCGCCCAGCACCTTTCAAGCGGGGTTCGTTGAGTCGGAAGGCCTAGTTCCTGCCCTGTTCCTGTTCCTGGGACACACAAAAAATACCTTAAGCAGACACAACCCACTGAGCAATGGGGCTGAAGAGATTCCGGATAAAAATATAACTAAACTAGCAGAGAATCAGCCAGGATTGATATTAAGTTGAATTTCAATTCAAGTACCAAAAGGGCACTTCATCCATGAGGCTCTCCAAAGTCCCGCTTTGTCTTTCTTTTTTTTTTTTTGGGTCCACTTAATTAGCATAGTATAAAATATTGTAGCCCCAATTTTGATGGGCGCTATCAAAGCTGGCAAAGCGAGAAACCCAACAAATACAAAAAAGGCCAAAGCCGACCACCTAATTAGCATGTCAATCTCTGCACACCGAAACACACACAAAACTCCGCGCCCTAGCTAGCTCTGCGGGGAAGGCAACAAATTGTGGCACACCGAGTGCCAGAAGAGAGCAATTAAAGCCTTAAATTTATGCACAACACACAAATTGCACATTTTATAATGTTCAACCTCAATGGCGATGGAGGCAGAAGAGCAGCAGTAGCATCAGGAGCAGCATCAGTCATCAGGAGATGGCACAAACAAAGCACACAACACACATTCCTTTTCAATTAAAATGTCTGTCAGTGGCAACGAGGGGTTGGCTCCTTCTGGCCAAGCCAACACCTGGATATGTCTGTCAAGCAAGCTTCTCGAGGATATCCCAAGGCGGGAGGGGATTGGGAGCTGACCCATAGATTTTGGTTTCTATTTTTTCGTTGTGTTCGCCCCAAAACGATTCACAAAATGCCTTTTCAAAAATTCAACAAAAAACAACGAGCAGGGAAGGTCCGCCCGTTCTGCTCCTACCATCGTGCTTCGTCGTTCGTCGTTGTCGTTGTCGTTGCGATTTGCATAATATTATTAGTAAACACTCGTTATGAAGTCAGCCACGCCTCCGACTCTGCCTCCGCCCCACACACAAATGCAGACATTTGCTAGATTTAGATTTTCGACTGGGCATAAAATATTTGACCGCAGCGCAAGTCCGGGGGATCCCCATGCCAAGACCCAGCCCCGACCAACCCTCCACCTATTTATAAACACAAATTTATTCAGCGTAATTAAAACACAAAATTCAGAGCCAACGAATTCGCTGGGGAGTCCGGGAGCAAACAAGAAAGGTGTGGGGAGTGTGAGAGATGGATCCTGGTCTGTTTTATTTGGGTCTGAGGCTTCATTGTTTTGCTATTGTACCAGGAATTTATTCTGGCGTGGGTTCTGTTTACTCTCGCCGGCTCTCCGGCTCTTCGGCTCTCCATTCTCTTTCTCTCTGGCGCTCGGCGGATGGGAGGGTATAACTGTTTTGTTAGGCTGCTTGTTCCGCGTGAAAACACCTGCCATGTTGGTGGATTCCTCAAAGGAATTCGGGTATGGGTATGGAATCCGCCCAAAATAATGTGGCATACTTTTGGGATAGCACCTGCAGGCTACCAAGCTATGTAGATAGGGGAAAAACTGACCTAGTTTCAGCAATAAATAATCACAGAAACATAATAATGATCATTTTTTCCTGCGTTTCTGACAGTAGAGAATAATTTGAAGAGCATTCCAGAGTTCTTAAAGCCCTATTATATATTGTCTCTTCATCTCTCCCTTTTGTTGCAATGTCAACGGCATAAATAAGCTTTTCAATTTCCTCTGACTTGCTGGTTCTCTTTCTGTGTTGGCAGAACAACAAAAACCGAAAAAAGCAAGACTCGCGAGGAAAAAGATACATTTAATTAATGTTGTAATTTATTACGTACAGATCCAGAGAAAAGAGAGAGAGACTACCACAGCGCTAATGTTTCTCATTTCCTTTGCAGGGCTCCGAGTTCCTCGAAGGCTACAGCATAAATGTTACAAAGACCTACAAGAAGCACAAGCGGTGCAAGCCCAAGCGCCTTTTTGCACCGATTACCGAGAGGACTGCTCCATCGCCAGCCTCCGATCTGAGCGAGCTTCCCGTCCTCCACGAGCTGGACAACAACAACATCATCGAAGGAGCAGCGCGGAGTAGCCGCAGCTCTGCGACCGATGTCCACGGACTGAGTTTAAGTCGGGGCAACTGCCGGGAGTTTGTCAGCTGCCTGCTCTGGCTGGGCGCCTCCTCCTGGTGGCTCCTGCTCATGTTAAGGACGTGAGGGGATCCAGCAACAGCAGCAGCAGCAGCAGGACCTGGAACAGCAGGAATCACAGGCACCACCGTCTAACTAAACTAAACTAAACATGCAGCAACACAACAGAAAAAAAAAGATTACAAATCTGGGGAAAACGGAAAATGCGAACTCAACTCAACTACAACTCTCTAACTTTAAATGACATCTCTTAATCCTACTACAGATACAAATACAAATAGAAGAAGTAGGAAAATGTGAAAAGCGGAAGAGCCAACATGAAATATTCATAATAAGCTAGCGTATAACAGCTCTCCCTACTCCAACTCCTATTACAACACCAGCACCTGCTGTTCCCTCTGCAACCCCCTTTACATCCACTTCCTCCACGACAACTCCCATTTATTTATTCTCCTCCCTACCACCACAATTTTGTTGATTTTGTTCTAGAGTTTTATTAAATTATTAACGATTATTTTAGTGTAGTTTAAGCTAAAAGTAAAACAAAACCAACAAAAAACAAAAACAAGCAAAAGAGCAAAAGAATAATGTCGAAAAAAAAACCGAAAAGCAATAATTAGTTGTTGTTGTCGTTATTAAATATACAAACCGCGAAATTGTAAAAGATATTATAGATATACACCTTGACTTCATATATATAGAGCAGTCATTCCTTCTACCATACAAATATATATATACATATATATATACGGATTCATATATGTATATTTAGATATATATACACACATTTATAAATAGAGGGTCTGACTTGGGTAAAGCTTGAGCGTCTGATGGGTTTTGTTGGGCATTGCAAGAAACAATCGTAGAAGGGAACCGACATCAAGTGGCAAGTCCTAGGCGAAGGCATCAGAGTCCTCCC